TATACAATAAAAAAATTGCATTGCATCCAAGACCACACCACTATGTCAATCAAGTTGTTATGATTTAAAATTCTTTTGTGCTAATTTAGATTCCCATCTTTTTTTACAGTACCTTACTTAGCAAAAGTTTTGGTCACCCTAAATACATCATTTACACAAAAACATATATAATATTTTCCAAAAAAATATATCAACTTGTGGCATATGTTCTGGATATCCTGCATATATTTCTAAATTTTCCAGAACTTAAACAATAAACAATAAAAATTCAAATTTTTTTAATCATTGCTCTCTAAAGCTTACATGATAACATTGTTTAATATTTTTACATCTGATAAATTAAGATAATCTGATTTTCAGGAAAAAAATTTTTACATGATTTTGAATACTTTTTTTTTAAACGAATTATTAAAGATTTTGGTAAATTTTAAAAATGAATTTAAATCAAGTTGAATGTGGACAAATTATTGGTCTCTATAAAGGTGGAAATTCAAAAGTCAATATTCTTGGTTTTTCTGGAAGGATGGCCAAGTCAATCTCCTGACCTAAATCCAAACAAACATTTGTGGAATGAACTAGAGACTTGTTTTTGAAAAAAACTTAGCCAGCAAAAAACTTAATTGGTGGTCTGCTGATCAATGATAGAAATTTGTTATGCAGATCCGGGATATCAAACTTAAAATTTAAGAGATCATGAAATCCAAATTGTCCATTAATTTCTTTTAACAAGCTTTTAAACAAAAACATGACAGCGAGCTTCATGTCTTTTACTCGCACAATGACATCACTCAGGGTCAAGACAATAATAGTCTATTTTATCAATTCAAAAAAGTACAAATAAGACAGCCATCCCCACATTTTTTTTTCATTTTTTTTTGTAGAGAAATTCCTCTCAGGCCATTTCAGCACACGGAACTCAACTTTCTACAATGTCCCTGTCCATCTTCAAGCAATCAAGTTTACAGACAATGAGCACATTCAAACCACGAAATCATTTATCATCATCAATCTTTCTGCCCTGCTTTCCTAATCAATAAGCAGATAGTTTAACAAAAGGGTTGTTGATTACTTTCACAAGTCCTAGGCACTTATTGGTTGGGAGACAGAATGCTATTAGTGTACAAAGTAGTTTGGGAATTTGGCTCAGGTTCACTTTGACATTTGGGATTTGAGTGGTATGTATATTTTGGTAATCAGTAAATAATAGAAATTTCTATTGAAAATATCAGTACAGCAAAGTGCTATTAGATGGGCACACAATTCCTAATGACCAAAGTTTGTTGGTATGGAAGTAAAAGTTAATGAAAATGAGAAGGAAGAGATGATTAGTGAAGAAACCCCATTTTTGAGACAAGGAAGAAATTTGAGAAAGATAACAATATTAAAAATTTGATTTTTAAGAATTGTTACTTTTGCAAGCATTTATTTTATTTATTAGAAAAAAACATGTCTATATCAAATAATTAAGAAGTGTTTATATAAGTGATTCAGTTGTCACATGATTCTTCAACTATTTCATATATTGTAGACCTCAAGAATATGGAAAGTTATCATAACCACATATGATCATATTATAAAGACACTTGCCATAAATGATTGGACTGGTAACTACCATTGACATAAATAGCTGTTGGTAGCTACCATTTGCTGTAAATAATTACAGCTACTGTATTTATTTGCAGCTGTAATTATTTTATAATGGTAGTTACCATTGTCACAAATAACCAATTATGGCAGGTGTCTTTAATCATACAAACAACATGATTTTTTTTTTGAAATTAACCAAACACACATTAGAAAATGAAATTAGAAACAGCATCATCCTTGTCAACAAATTATAAAGAAAAGGATAGTAATTTTGAGAATATTGAAAGCTAATATTGAACACTATGAAAAATTTGGTTGAAGTTTTTTTAAAACCTGCTTCCTTAGAAAAACCATCACCATCTAGATCAAAATATGCAAGCTATAAAAATCCCTATTGCAAGGTTTGATTTTTTAGATGGTATAGCCTTTGTGATAAAACAATCACAGTTTGAAGGATTTAAATTCTTTGCCTTGTTGGAGCTTAAAAAGCAGTGTGCAGCAAGATTTAAAAAATGAGTTTTCAAATCATTGTGTATCACATAGACTCTATTTAACAGGAAAGGATGCTTCAGAAAAAGTTTTATATTTTCAAAAATATGAAAAACATTACAAGAGATCACATTACTAAAATTTGTTTTTATTTATTAATTAGTTTTTATTCAAGAACTATCACTTAAAGTATTGAAATTATGTAAAACTTGATGGTTGTCATTTTCAAATGCTGCAAATAATTTACAACAAACACAACCTTTATTTGATCAAGAATTTATTTCTGCAACAATATCTCTAAACCAATTAAAGATATAACCTCTAAATTTAAGTTATGAAGAAGTTCCACCAAATTATGGTGTAATATTTAAAAATCATTTAAGTGAACATAATCAGTTAGTATCTTTGTTTGCCATTGCAATAATAGATTCGATTGTCAATAGACTCTCTGAATCTAAATTATATTTTTCTTTTGATATTTTGATCCAAAAGGACTTCCTGATAATGATTGAGATTTAATTATAAATGGAATAAATGAGATAAAGTTTTTAGATAATTTTATGGAAAAAATAAAACTCGTAGAAGAATGAAGCTTTGTAAAATCCTATCTCCAATTGTACAAAAATACAGAATTAGATTTTATTCAATTGTGGAAACAAAATTTAAATAATGATGAAATTTTTTCTTCTAATTGCTCAACAACAATAATTATTCTTAAAATAGCATACATATTGATGCTTTGAATAATCATTTAATGATAACCGGAAGTAGAGGATTTTGATTTTGTTGTTTACTAATTAAATTTAAATTGGCAATCATTTAATCAACGACCTGCAGGGTGCATTTCGAAGCAAGTATTAATAGACCTGTTGTATAAATATTTTTTCTTAAATTATCAAGGCTAACTACACGTTATTTAGAATTGGTTGGGAGATTGTGGGCATTATTATTAAAAACTATTTTGTTACATGCCTTAAACTAAATTAATACATTAAATAAATAAAATTACAATAATAATTTAAAACAGAAATTTCTCATTGAGTTTGATTTAGTAAATTATATTCAGCAAATGCTACTGAATTATTACGAATGTCATTCCATCCATTAACTGGTGTTTTAATTGTTTCAAGCATACATCCATCATGATTTAACTTACCCAAAATTATGGAATTATCAGGAATAGTCATTCTACCATCAAAACTTGTACAAAGTGGATATATTATTGAATAAGTTTTTGATTTACAACCAGAAAATATATGAACTTTTCCATCTAATGAATTTCTTTTTAAATCATTCTCATCAATGTATTGATACCTTTCTTGTACCGACTCTATCAAAATCTTTTCATCAATAAATGGTAATGTTGCAGTGCCATTACCCTTTGTTGGATAATTTTTTGGGAGAAAATCCTTCAAAGGTGATTCAGGATCTGTGAGAAGATCACGTAGTGATTCAGGTAGAAGGTAGCTAGTTGATGGTGGTATGATATAAACTAATTGTTCAAATGGATTCATCGGAAAATCTGAAGTGAACGATGGGTTGAATATTCTAGGATTTACATATTTCAAAATTTCATTCATAGTGGGTGATTTATGGTAAGAATAGGAAAATCTCCAACTAGGACAACTTCCATTATGATATAGGACTGACCATAACATTGTTTTTAAATAGTCATTAGCTCGGTTTTCAAGTGTCTCTTCACCAAGATTTTCCGATATAAGACTATCACTTTTTACAAGTGGATTAAGATTACAAACATATTGCAAACACTGAAAGAATTCAAGTAAATGTTCGAAATTTATTAATGGTGGTTGCTGTTGCTGTTGTTTCTGTTGTTGTCGCTGTTGTTGTAGTTTTCTATTTGTGATGTAATAGCCATTAAAATATTTAAAATAGGCCTTAAACAATGTACCAACTGATGCTTCGCCAACATGTTTTAATCTTGGCATAAAATCGTTTCCAAGTAAGTTGACAAGACATGCAAAATCATCAATCAAGTTATTCCCATCAATTTTTCTCCCGCCCACTCCACCACCACCACCTACCATATCTGCAAGGATATGTTTACGTAATTTGTGAACGTTAACTATTTTGTAATCACCATTATTTCCTGATCGTAGTATACATATATTGTGTTTATGCGTCAGCAATGCATACATTATAAAATCTGCATCACTTCCATATACAACATGTCGATTATTTGGGTCGTAACGTTGTGTATTTAAATATCTAAAAATTTTGTGTTCTCCTTCGCCTGGTACTTTGGAATCATTGAATATTATTTGAAGCGCTTTATACTTTCCGTTCAAGCGTTGATATATGTAAAATCTGATTGCATTATTTGCTGCAGTCATAAAATCTGTTCCTGCAGTAATAGCAACTGAGTTTATTGGAACAAAGAACTCAAAATTATCACTTCCATTTATATTGCTGCTACTATTACCACTAGTATCATTGATGTTATCATTTTGATGAGTGTATCTTCGTGACCTTTGTTCATTCATCTTAGCTTTTGGCGCAACACCATCCATTGCAATGTAAACAAACTGTGGACTACAACTTTCAATGACATAGTCCATTTCTCCAAATACTTCAGATAACATTCGACGTGGACTTCCCGGTCCTTTTTTTTTTACTTGTTTTTTATGCAAAGCGACATGAAACAATGCATTAATGTCTAAATATAAAGAAACAACTTTATTTCTTGGATTTGTTGTTTCTATAATATCTGGATAACGTTCAGAAAGCCATTTAAAAAACCCCGGAATACCCATTTTTTATAAAAATAAATAGAAATGGGAAAAGAGAATGGTCAATCGTTTATGTATTTTTGCGTTACATGTTGAACATAATACTTGCGCAGATCAATTGAATGAATAATAATAAACTTTTATCAAAAAGTAAAAAAATAAATAATAAATTATTTAATCAACAATGTTATCATCATCAAAATATAAAACATCAGGCTCTCTAACGTCTTTAGAATAGAATTTCTTATTAGTTGCCATCTCCAATAATTCCAATTCAGCAGGTGATTTGTCTAATATGGAACGTTTTGATCCTGGTGGTATCTCGTCTAGATCTCGTTCAGTAGGTTTAACCAACCAAACTTGATATAAATTATTAACGTTGAATTGTTAATTTATTATTATAATTATATTAATTATATTACTATCGTTACCTTCAATTTCCTCAACTATAAATTCTTGTTTTTTTGATAATTGTGGATTAGCGTACGTTGATGATAATGGTTCTGCTTTTGAGTGGCCATTTATAAAATTTTCGTTTATCCACAATCCACAATAACCAAATTGTCCACCCATTCCTAATCCTATTAAACAATTTTAATAATAAATATACAAATTGACCGATTAAAAATACAATCATAAAACTCACATACGCATACACGGACATTGATAAGTTACCATTGGGTAAAGTTTTTGTTCCAAAATTTAAATATTGAAAATTCTCATTATAACTTGATGCAGTATAGCATCTTAATTTTGGTTTAATTGTGAATAGAAAATTTCTTCCTGTCCCATAAAATTTAGAATTTTGTTCCCAATCATCATAAGCAAAACCTCCAAATATATAATTATCTTTATCTTTGATGATAATCAATGTTGACCCTTTATATAATAAAGAATTAACAAAAGTAAACCAACTGTCACCATTTAATCTAGAAGAAAACAACAAGAAGTGCTTTTGAGTTCTACAATCTATTGGCAAATTATGATTTAAAATATAATAATCACTCGGTGTTAATAAATTAGAAAATTTAGGAAATTTGAATGGTGAGTTTATTTCAGGCGATAAATTATTATTGATTCTTTGTGTGTTAATGAAATCAGCTAATTTATAATTTATAATTTTTTGTAAGAATAATCTGTTAATCAAAATATTAAATAAATGTTGAAATTGTGTGCTGGATGTGTACCAATCCATTAATGATCCTTCATTGAAATATCCTTCTACATCTGATTCTTTGATAAGATTATGTAATACTTCTTTGTTCTCTTCTTCTGATTCTTGATGTTTTAGCTTTGGTAATAATATTAAATAATCAATTAAATTGCTATAGTCATTTTCATTTTCTATATCATTCTTTGATTTCTTTTCGTGTTCAAAGCTTCCCTCAAACCAATAAAATATTGATGCTTTTGTCACTTGTTGTATAAATTTTCTTAATTTACTTTGCATCAATCTACCTACAATATAAATTGCTTGTGATTGCTCATCTGGTAAGGATTTAATTAGATTCTTAAGAGCTGAAAAAAATCCAATTTTAGTTATTAACATTGAAGAGGACGAAGAAGTTTGTATTAATCTCTCTAATTTTTCATGAGAAACTTCTTTTTTCTTTTCTAAAGATGTTATTGTTGATTGAATTTGAAAATAGAACACAAATCCATCTTTAAGATCTTCTTCGATAACAGAAGGTAAGTGATTCTATTATGGAAAGAAAAGTTTTAATGATTTTAATATCAAATCATTATTATCATTATTTTTTTTTTGCTGCTCACTCATTCATACTTTAACATTTGAAACTAATACACCTAATTGTTTTTGATTTGAACCATCTGGAATAAATTTGTTAAAATCTTGTAAAAGAATATTTCTTTCTTCTTCTGAAAATTTGGAAATAATTTCTTGGAATTGAACTTCTGAATCTTTACTTGAATTAACACCCATATTTCAAAGTGAACAATTAAAATTTCAGGGGTTATAATAATAATTGGGGCAGACCAGACAAAACCAGACAAAGTGACCATTTGTATTACCAAAAATTTCAGGGATCAAAATTCAGTCATTATTATAATCATGTTGTAATTATAATTTAACAGTCCAATTTGTTACCTTAAGTGATATATAGAACTGTCCCTATATAAAATAATTAATATGAAATTAATTTATATCAGATCTACTATGGAGCCCAAGAATTATAGCACCATCAGAAGTATTTTAAAGAAAGAACAAGGTGAAAAAATTGCTCCTTACATTTTCAAAATAAATGATACTCAAACACTTGCAGCTTATCTAAGAAAAGAAAGAATTACTTATGAAATTTACCAAGAAAAAAGAAAAATAATAAATGTTGGAAAAAGAAAGCATCATGATGATGCATTATTACCTAATAAAAAGCAAAAATCCTTAAAAGGAAAATAACTACCATTTTCTTTAATAGATGGAATGAATTTCAATTTATACAGAGGAAAATAACCAAAATTTTCTTTAAATTACTTTCTTATTTTCAATCAAGGTCACTTTTTAACTTCAATTTGAGCAACTAATTGACCATTTTGTTGTTCTTTTAATTGTTTATTTTCCTCTTCTAGTTGATTGATTTTTTCTTCCAAAATCTTTATTTTATCTAATAACTCCTGTTTCTGTTTTTTACTTCATTCCTCTGATTTCTCTTGAAACTTGGCTATTTCCTCTCTCTCAATTCTAATGCTTCTTCAGCAGTGGCTAATTCTTCTTGTAATCCATTTATTTGACTTTCATAAAAAACAGACTGACTTATTTCCTCACTATGCAAAAGAGAGAGTTCCTTTTCTTCCATGTCTTCTTCATATCTAATACAAAAACAAACATATTTATCACCATGAACATCAATATAATGTTTAGTTTGTAATCTACCACATCTCTCACACTTTTCCA